GGATCAGCGGACCAGCGGATCAGCGGATCAGCGGATCAGCGGATCAGACAACCCAGCGGATCAGCGGATCAGACAACCCAGCGGCCATAAGTCGGTCCACATACTTCCTGGCTTAGGAAAAGAGCATGGTTCCTCCGTCATTCTCTCAACCCAGTGGAGTTACCTCAAAATCATGCCAAAATCGGCCTCTTTATCAGAGTCTCCGGCAGCAGATGCGTGTGGTCCGCAGCCCGGTGCTCGGAACTGGTGGAATGGAGTAGAGGTCAGGGCCAGCCCAAGAGACCCGGAACTCCAAGGCCGGCGCTTGCAGTCGTCCGTGCAGCACCAAGAAGGCCTGGTTGAGCTCACGACTCAAAACCGAGAGGGTCGAGTCGTGAGAGTCAGATGTAGTGCACATGGAGGAAGACTATATTGTGTGTTTTCCTTTTGTTCTTTAGACCTTAGACCATTTCGTGTTTGTTTGTTCATCTCTTTGTTCTAATTGTTAGACCTTCGTGTCTTTCATGATATGTTTGTTCTTTGGTTTCTTTTTCGCTTCGCTTCGCACTGCAGGTCAGGTTCCTAGACTCAACCAGACCTCCGTGTCCATCCTGCTCCAAAGCACCGGAGGCCATCGGACCGGAACACGCTCCAAAGCTGGAACAGTCACTAACTGGGTGACGAAACGAACAGCTCCCGGAACAGCTCGTAAGACTGGTCAGAAAGACCTGTCGTCTTCCGTGACCCATTTGATGAAATCCAGGTTTGTGCTCTAAGGCAAGCAAGGGGGAACCGCACGTTCTACAAAAGTGCGTGGAACAGGGCTGGGAACTCTTTTTGCTCTTTTTGGTTCTATAATGTTCTATAGGAAAGCTACTAACCACATCTAACCACCAGTTGCAAGCCGATTCCGCACCACACAAAAGCTTGGCTGCTTCTGCACGGATCCAGGCACGTTTGAGAAGCTTCTGGGAGCTCCTCAGTATTCCTCAGTCCTCAGTGTCCTCATTGCATCTTAGTTATTCTGGCTCGTCTGATTAGAAAGAAATGGCTGCGGGTCAAAACCCTGGTTGACTGACCTGGTTGCCCTGTGAGGATGACTGACATTTTTGTAAGGAATCAGGAATGTCAAATGATCATGCTTTGAAAAAATAGCGGCATGCAGATCAACACCAACAAAGACACGTCACTTGCCGCTCGGCCCAGAGCTTCCGCTCGGCCAGCGCGCCTGGTTCCGCGCGAACTTCTCCTGCGACATCCCCGACACGGCTTTGGTGGGATGACCACACAACGATACTTGCGCAACGAGTCCAGAGCCTGGCCCTTTCAGGGATGGTGCATGATGGTTGTTCTTATAACACGTCCAAGCTCGCTGAATGGAAACACCATCTTGGAGACCCAAATCAATAGCAAAACATATATAGGGAATCTGTCAAGAAAGACCGCCCCAGAGACCCTTACGACATCGAATCCCACCTCCTTGCTTTGGTCTGTGGGCAAGGCCGCTGCCTGGGCAAGGCTGTCGACCCACGCGACGCGAAGCAGAGATCACCGACGTATGACGAGGTCTTTTGGTGTCGGACAAAGCATCACGTGAAGGGTCAACACCCCAAACACAAGAATTAAACGGGACTGGCATTGATGATTAAGAACTGAAATCATTTAATACTTTGACTCGATATACATGGATCATCATGGATCCACCCTTGAAAGTCCCCCACCCCTGGTCCCCCCTTTTCCTTGCTTGGCCGATTCTCAGAACGACGACCCAGACCGACCAGGTCATGTCGGGTCTCACTTCGGGACCGACGCGTCGCGCGATCGGCGGTCCTGAAGAAACCACCGGACCCGATCACCGATCAACAGGTGTTTCCTGGTGGCAACAGCCCAGAAACCACCGGACTTAGGGTCCCAAAACAGCCTGACCAGGAGGGTCCTGGTAGGCGTCCCCTTTGTTGGGTCCGTTCGCCCCCCCCTCTTAGCAAGACATGCGTCCTTCTTGAAGCGGGTCACCGGGTCCTTTGGTTTTTGGGGTGTCTCACAAGCCCGATGACTCCACAGTGGCACCTCCACTCCTTCGCCCTTCTCCAAGTGGGCCGTCAAGTCCGTTGAACATCTCAGCGCCGCTGCGGCCAACCTCGACCGGCAGTCGACCGGTCCGTGGGATGAGCTTCACCCGAGCGAAACGAGGCCGAAACGCGGAGAGCAAAACGAGCATGTGTTCCCAGACACTCCATTGGGTGGTGCCAGGGGGGTCAACTGATCGGCATTTTTGGCAGTCTCATTAGTCGTGTATGGTTTTCGCCATGGCCGATGAGGGCACAAAGGTACACTATAGATGCTACACGAATGGCCTGGCCTAGCTTCGATAATAACGGATGTTCTCGTACTTGGCATGCTCGAATGGCCCTTCTCCAGCGCGTTGTTCCAACGCTGCAGAGCGGGCAGTAAGAGAGGTCTAGCCTGTGAAACGGTGAACCAGGTGAGACGGTCAGCCCAAGTTTCGGGGTGACCGGGAGGCCTGTGCACAACAGATGGGCAGAATGTGAGACAGTGAAACTATGCAAGAGCGTAGGGGTTA